CAGAGCAGTGGTTCCCTGACTGCATGTGTAGGTACAACCTGCAGCGAGAGCACCCCGATCCCTCAATTAAACACTGTAAGCAACTACTGTAAGAAATTGTTCCCTGTGCAGGGGGTGAGGCGCTGGCCCCGGGTGCCCAGAGCAGCTGTGGCTGCCCCCTCCCTGGAAGGGTTCCAGGCCAGGTTGGACGGGGCTGGGAGCCCCCTGGGCTGGGGGAAGGGGGCCCTGCCCGGGGCAGGGGGTACCACTGGGGGGGCTTTAAGGTCCCTTCCAACCCAAACCATTCTGTGATTTGATGTACTGTAATGGAAATAACTCATCTATTGACAAACATTTGCACCTTTAATGCAAACTAAGTAACTGAATTGGTTTTAGAAAATATGTTTGGATTTTACCTATGCTAATCCTTGTTGCACAAAACTCACTGTATTTGCATGTAGTACCTACGCTACCTGCATCAGACATAGTAATGCAGTAATTGCAAAAAATTAGAAACAACGGGGAAAAGGAAAAGCCGACTGGAGAAAAAGAAAAGAGCAAGGAACGGAGTAAGTACAAATGACAAGGGAAAAAACAAATTTAGGGGAACTTCTGAATTTCCTCTGTTTGAGAGAAAACTATCCAGAAAACAGTGGGTGCCTTGACACACACTATCAGCAATACATGAAATTTTGGGCTGAGCCGTGTCACAGCTCAGTCTTATACAAGATGGTGTAACTTGGCCCAGATCCAGCAAAGCACTTGGACTAATGTTCAATTTTCAGCTTGCGAGCAATTCCACTGAAGTGAAACTTGTGACTTTAAGAGGTGAGCATTTGATTAAACTCTTTGTTGTAAAAGTACCAAGAAGTAATATTGCTAAGTTCAAATTCCTACAGATCCTGAATCAAGTCTCAAAAATGTTTTTAAACATTGGTTTAAAACCTTCGCCCTCAATTAAGAAAGAATTAGTTTGGCTCTGGTTTCTTAAAGTCATGAAATGACCAGTAAAATCCTTACTCAAATCACTTGGCTCACATTTTCAGTTATTATTTCACAGTCAAGAGGGCTTGAAACTTTTCAAGAAGTGAATACAGGGATTCCCGTGTATCCAGTCTTGTCCCCGGGAGCTGGTGTATAAAACAAAAACCAACCAACCAGCCCCATCCTAAGACTCATAAAAGCATGAGAGTTGTTGAATTTGAATGTACTCTGCACCTTGTCCATTTAAACCTTCAGGACAGAGGTCTCATTTCCACTCTCCCACAATGTCTTTACTGACCCAAATCGACCAGGATTACTGTCCTCTTGTTCTGGGGGATTCTTTTGCAGTAGGGCAAGAGCAATTGGAGAACTGCATGCAATGCAGTCTGCAGCAAAGAAATGTTAACTCTCTCTGGATGAAGGAAATCTGCCTTCCTTTCCCTATATCCCTCATACTTACTTTTGCCCCCATACTCTGCAGTTTCGGCATTTCATCTCACTTAAAATGTAATAACCTCTCTCTGTTACAAGCAGTTGCTTAAGTAGCCCTGGGAGCAGACCAGTCTTCTGCTGGCTACAATGGGTAGAGATGAATGGGAGGAAATGAACTTCAGCTGGTAAAACAGCTTCTGCTATAAATTTATGGGAACCAGTTCCTGAGATTCCCCTATCTGATTTAAAAGTCCTTTCATAAAGATATCTGTGTAACATTTTTAAACAGATCTTTTCATTCATCCCTGAATTGAGAATAAAAGCAATCTGATAAAAAAAAATACATACAGTACATGCCAAAGCAGTAGTAGTAATTCATTGGCCTTGAAATAGTTTTTTTACTAGAAACATTACAAAGACAAGAACCGTGTGTCATCACAAAGGACAAAAAAAAGGCAGTTTTTAACAGGCACTCTTCAGAATAGGCTCCACGTTTCATCCTCAATTATCAGTTCATAAATCTAGAATTCCTTAGCTGCTAGCAGATGGGTGAAGGTCACCAAACAAGGACCTTATAAAAATTAGTGTGATTTAGAAAAATAACAACAATCTGAACTAACTTCTTTCCACAATGCACTGGATTTTCCAGAGCTGTTCCCCTTTAGCAAAGGGCCAGTAGAAAACTAAACCCCAGATATAGCCAAAAAAGAAATTCCCTTTCAACTGCCGAGATGGATTGTCTACAAATAAACTTGGACATAATTTCCTTATGAGTTAAATTAATTGGTTGATAATGAAATCCTGCACTTACATACAGCCTTTAAAAGTTTCAAGTATTCAAAGGTAATGCAAGCTTTCGGAGACCTGGGGAGGCACCATGAATTTACAACTAAAGTAGCTCAACCACATTCCCCATCAAAGGAATCAGAACTCCTTCAGGAACTACCAGGAAAAGCCAATATCCAAACTCACCAACCTAGCAAGCCTTGCTCTCCCATAGGAAATTGTTATACATGAGTACCCTGATTCCTCAACTGCCAGAACATCCCTCTTTTGATTTCTATTGAACAGCGAACAACATACACCTCAGCATCCTCATAACTTAAGTTCCTATGTGAGGTTGACAGGAGTAAATGTTTCCAGAAAAATCAGTAATGGAAGTCAGGATCATAAATCCTTATTTTGACATCTCCCTATATGCAGTTTACGATCAAGAGAATTCTTCTCCCATTTTCAAACTGAAGAAATATGTTTTTAATTTAATTTCATCCTAAAATAACTAGGAAATTCTACCCTGCAAGACATAACGAAACAAAAACAAAGTGGCAAAAAGCAGGTTTCCCATCTTATTACCCACTCATGCATACACACTGACAGTCTTGTTCGTAGTGATTCACCATAATACATTTTTTTCACATAATATAGCATGAAAAGAATGTCTGCTTTTAACATCCCAAGTATGTATGAGACACTGTCTATCTTTTGCCTGCTTTTCTGTCCTTACCTTCTTTTCAGGAAACAAACCAATTTTCCAGTCTGTCCTTATGAGACATTTTCTGTTATCTGCTGCCCATTTTCAAATTACAAATGCGACGATTCTGACCTTATGGCTCAGAAAGTCTCTGGGAATTACTTTCAGTGAGAAGGAAGCACATTTTTTCTATCATCCTCAAAAACCGCAGTTGCAAGGGTTTGGTTGCATACAATAAAATAATCACTTTTTGGACAGAATTCAATAAGTTTAAATCAGAAATAAGATTTCTAAATATTTTTGAGTAAATGGCAGTAGCCTGCTAGCATGGAAGCAGCTATGTTACATTAGCTATCGCAGACATTGCTTACTGCTGTGACAGCGATGTTGCTTTAATGGGCATTAAATTGACATGATGCAGACATCCAAAAATAAAGTTCAAGTGCCCAGGCTGTGCTTGCATGGGCTGTGCCTTAAGTGGTCTGTGTTTATCAACGGCAGATTGTCAAAGATGGGAATTAATAAAGGAAAGCTACTGCTGCACTATACTGAGTTCTGGTCTCGGAGAGCTAACAGAGTCTTCTTCCTTTACCTGTTCCCTGACAAGTGCATTTAACTGGCACACTGAATGCACACTTACTTAAAGGAGGAGTAGCTAGCTTCTCCTGGGGTTTATGTGCTTGGGAAGTGTCACAGTGTTAGACTTGATATCCAAGCCAAAACATATTTATGTTATAGTTGGTCAAATCAAAACTTGAGACCAAACGTTACCTGCACCAAGGACCAGGAGGATGTCAGGTCGCAGAAAATGGTTTGCTGACACTTCATGACAGAAGTTAGAGTCTCAGAATGCACAGGGATGTGCAAAAGCCCACTAAAGCCATAAGTCAAATAAATGAAACAGTTTAGTTTTCCTGAACTGCATCCTGTGTTCAGTACCAACTGAACAGTCAAAACATTTTCCACTGGCACATTTGAAGAGAATATGGATTTTTGACCAAACAAAAAAACTCTTTGTAATTTTTTTTCTTTTCAATATAATTGCCTTTTGATATTGTCAAAAATATATTTTTTTTCACCGACTACTTACTCCTCCTTTGCAATAAGGAAGCAATTTCATGCTTATGACAGTGGTTGATTGCCATTAATATAATTGCAGCAATGTAGAATCACCACTTTTCCATATTATGGACCAGAAGGTGGAAAAAAGCCATTTACACTGCAAATACTTAATCTCATCACCAGAACAGGGGAAAATAAGACCAAAACATGACAACTGAAGTTCATTAGCTGCTTTAGTGATGACTCAGGAGACCGAGACAAACTTATTGCTATTTCCCAGCAGCGAACATGTTCCCTTTAACAAGAATTAGCAAAATTTTTTTTTCCCCCCCGCAAGTTTAGCAGATGATCATACAAAGCCAGAGAGCTGTCCTGTTTAACATAAAGATGGCCTTTTACACAGCCCGTTACTGATATGAACTGTACTTTTTCATGATGTATGAATTACCAAGGGTAGCACAGATATCAGCACAGGAGACAGAAGACAGCTCTGCCTCCACATTGTGACGGTTTTCCCTTCTACCTTCCCGACCTGCCGACTCCCCAGTTCTCTGGGAGAAAACGTGTGATGATTTCACGGAGCTCAGCAAGCCGGGGACACGCAGTCTTCATAGCAGCTCTCATAAACCCAACTTCATTGACTTCAATAAAACCAAAGTGCTTTTCATCAGCTGAGGAACTGGTCTGACCTGTGTAGAACAGGCTACTGTGCACAGTAAAAGCCCAGAGACTGAAACACTCCGAAATCCAAGCGCCCAGACACAGGTAAAAGGCAAATTTCTAGCTTCTTTCAAATACACAACAAATTTCCATGGACTTCAGCATGGCAGGAGCTTCCTTGGTGGCAGGCTGAGGCTAATTCACTGGCACCACTGCAAGTACACTGATTTATCCCAGCTCAGGTCCTGTTTTAAGCTTACGTGGTTGCGGAGCACATATTCATGACCTAATCCGTTATCACAGCATGGGGAAATGGGAGAAATGAAAGCAGCCCAAATGAAGATTTTATCACTTAAATAAAATTGAGGGCTGTTATTCTTTATGTTTGTTTCAGTTATCATTCATTTCTTACCTCACAGACACAAGCAAGCTATTGTTCAACTTCAGTTCTCTCAGATTAGGTAGATAGGCACCTATGGGAACAGAATAAAGAATCACTTTGCAGACCTGGGAGTAGAATAAAGGAAACTTCTGACAATTACCAGTCGAAGTATCTAATTTTACATGCTTTTCTTACCTGTTTCTGCCAGTTCTATGCTGGACCTCTTCTAAGGAAATGAATGAGATTATTTCACTTCAAAAATATTTCGCCCTGTGCATTTTTGCAACAAATATGTATTGTCTACATGGCTGTCCAAATATAATTTTTGGAACCCCTCTCTGACAATTCTGATAGAGCACCTTTCCAAACAGACAACAACAGAAACTGGCTTGATGGGTGACTGTTTTCTTTGGTCTGATTCCCAACCTTTATTGACTATTAACTGAGTGACATTCAGAAGAGGTAAGGGATGATTTTGAGTATAGCAATTCATGACCTTTGATTGCTGCATCATGCTCTTGCTTCTCTCCCCCAAAATCTTTTTCTACCTATTTAATGGCAAGTAGCGATGGATTTATTGGATACACACTAAGTAACACTTCTTCAACATGTAATTTTGAGTCAAACAACAAAAGCATAATTTCCCATGTCACAACATTGTCTTTTAGAGTTCAGAGGTCCCCAGAAATGCTACAGACGTTTTGCTAAGCATTGTCTTCCCCTTTTAATTTTCTGGATGTGATCCATTGTTTACTATTCAATTGTACAAGTTTTATATTAATGAAAACTTGAGTATTCTCTTTTTATTACTTTGATTAATGCTTTTTTCTAAACATGTGTCTTTTTGGTTATTTCTACAAGTATGTCTAGAACCTATTATTCTACAGAATAATTTGTATGTAAGCTCAAGTTCCAGGAAATATTTGCTACAACAGCAAACTTTTACCCATTCCCACTAGCAGAGTTTACTCATGGCTGGCGAGCATCTTCCAGTATAACATGCAACCATGTAGAGGTAATACCAGTTTCAGACAAACAGGATCACTGCTAAAACATTAAAATCTGTTCTCAGCAAATATTTTTATGAGTCCTCTGAGTAATCTCTCTCTGGCAAGGGTGATTTAACAGCGTCCAGAAGAACATCATTCCAGCTCCTCACAAAGGATCAACATTAAAAACAAAAAATAAAATAAAAAAAAGGAGTGGGATCACAAAAGCAAACAAAGGACATCATGTTGCTCTTGCCATTTCCCCAAACAGAACAAGAGTGTTTATGGCAAAAACATTTTTTAATAAATCATGCTTTAGTAGAAGTATTATATACATCTAATGCTATTTGGGAGTGATTATAATACACATATTGATCTTCATGCTGTACTGACAATATTTAACTTCATGTCTTTGCAAAGCTCTTTAGAAAATATTAAAAATTCAAAACACATCATGCAATTTGTTAGCCTTATTTTTTAATAATCACCATAATCCATAAAAGTTGTAGTACAAATTATAACACACCATCCTCATCCTGCAGGGAGTACTTTCTCACATCAAACAAGCTTTATAAAGTATGGCAGCTAAATAATTTGGAGTCCTGACAGAGAAGATTCTAGGATCTCTGTTAATTATTCACAGCTGTTATACTAGCTGGTGAGCAAAGACTTACTCAGATATAATCCATGCACTAAGAAAACCCCCACAGAAAAAAATTAAAAACTAGATTTAAAAAAATCGCTTACGTGCTTCTGACAAGAAACCTGAAGCACAGAGAGATGAAATGACTTCCCCCAAAGTGTTAAAACAAAGAAGAAGAAGGATTCAGTAGTCTCTTCAGTCCCAGCACAGCGGTGGGTAATAGCCTTGCCACGGATTCAACCCGAGAGGCCAAAGGGTTCCCAGGCAAAGGCTACTGCAAAGCATTACAAAGCCAATGGGTTTTAAAAACTACTATTAAGCAGAAGATTTGATTGAGGAGTCAAGAAGACTAGCTCAAGAGAAATGGAGAGACTTTCTCAGGAAAAAGCTTTCCAGGGAATGCGTTTAGGGTTGGTTCAGGTAAAAAACCCCAACTATTAAAGGATTCAAAGAGGCAGAGTGACAGGCTGACGATACAATTTTCACATCTGGTTATTTCATTATTGTAACCTGATCCTCCATCTCAGACATTTTATTGTATTTTGGCATAATCTACCCCTGGGAACTTGCAGAGTGTTAAGCTCTAATGCACTGCTTACTAGACTGAAATAAAAGTATACTATGTGCAGTGATGCAAAATTCTGCCAACAAGACTTTTGCAATATATTTTTCTAATTCTGCTGGTTCTTCCCTCCTTTAAGTTTTATATTCAATATGTAAGTATTCTTTGGTGCTAAGAATCCACTGTCCATTTGATTTTGCTCTTTCTTACAGCCCCAATGCCTTCTATATAGAGACTGGAAGACCGAGTTAAGAAGAGCAAATTGTAAAACGAAGATGGCAAAATAATTCTATCTGAATGTAAAAACATACTTCTAATTTTCTTAGTTTTAACTCTCATGGCATCTTTCCTGAGAGCAAGGGTGCAATTTATTCTTAAACTAACAAAAAAATACTCTAAAATATCAAACCCATTAACTTCTAATATTAATTTTTAAAGTACAAACAATATATTCCTCATCCTGAAACTGCCTTCATACTGTATAAATGCTATTTTTAAAAATGAAAATGATCCAGAAAAATACTGACGACTGCAACACAAGGCTGAGAATTCAGAATGGCAAGCAATGTTATCTCATCTGCCTATGATTCCCTTTCACTAAATACCTTCTCATTGGTATATGGCTCTGAAATTACTAATCACCAACAATGTACTGGTTAGTGTTAAACTCTGCTACTGTATTATCCCAGTGGAACAAAACTAAATGAAGAGCAGAAAGAAATCAAAGTGTAAGCTGGGTGAATAAAAGTGATACGTGCACACTCGGCAACATTGCCTGAAGTGCTGCACTTTGCAAGCGGGGTAGCGATGCAGATGTCTCTCTGAGCTGCCTTGGTACAGCAGGTGACATTTAGGTGACATAACTGACTAGGAGTAAGGAGAAAACAGGCAAGCTGCTGAGTTTATTATATCCTCCAAGCTACACCACTTATATTCATAACACTGGTTGTTTACATTATGATGCATTCTTTGGGTAGCATCAGGTATCTTGTTTTTCTATTGTTAACAAAAAGTCACTGTGGCTTGACTTCTTATGCCTTCTGGAATACAGACTAGTGAAAAACATACACAAAATAAATTACTGACATACTTGTGTTGGCATCAGGCAACCTACCTGTTTTGTTGATCCTAAAGTACAAAACAGGCAGGTGAACACAGGCTGCACTCTTCTGGCAAGAGCAATCTGATATACAAATTCAACAGGCTATTTAATTCACTTAAGCCCTGTTTGATCAAGTAAGATACATCACCTTGATGTTATTCCCATGCATGTTCTAAATGGGCATTTTTTGCACGTTTCTGGGTGAACTGGGCAACCCAACTGGAGATCAGACTGCAGCACTTGCGGGCAAACCCAAGCTAGCGGCAGTCTAGCTACCGGAAATGAGGATCTCACAAAATCCCCTTTCAGCGCAGGGTTTAACACGAACTCGCTGCCCCAGCGTGCCCCCGTGGCTCCTGGAGGGCCTGCCCAAGCCCTGCTGCAGCGGGTCCTGTGGCACTTCCTCAGCGAGGCTTGTCAGCACCAGCTCGACCGTGACCGTGACCGGCGTGGGCAGGGCCGCACGTGCTGCACTCCCACGCCCAGCCCCCGGCACTGGCTCCCTGGCCACGCAAGCCCCCGCCGCTGCCACGGTGGCTGCCGACAAAGGTCTCCCTGCTTCGCATCAGGAATGCCAATAAATAGAGCAAGAGGAAAAGGAGATGATGGCCCTGCGTGAAAAAAAAAAACTCCACATGCCTACTTCTGAACCTTGAGCAGAGCTTTTCCTCGCTAAAAACACGCGCAAGGGAAGCGGCAGTCTCCAGACACGTAATCAACTTAGCCTGGCCACCAGCAGGCAACAATTCAATAAGTACTGGCGAACAGCACTGTGGGTAACTTGATTTGTAGCTATTAAAATCACTTATTTACAGGAGAACTATGTAGTGTCTTAAATGACTCTATCCCACCGTTACTTTCAACAGGAATTTCTATGAGCCGGTCACGAATGCGGTCCCAGATCTGTCAGCAATCAAAACCAAAGGGATAAACTAATGAAAAGGAAATAGTCCATCTGTTTGAGTGTGAACTGAAGCCTACATACGGCTGAAGAGCACAGAAGTCAAGTCCAAGATCCGCAAATTTGGATACGAGACTTGCCAGGGCGATTCAGTGTTTCGCCTGTCACTCAGCAAGGTGCGCTGAAAACAAACAGCTAGAGATTTCAGCAATTATCCCAAGCCCTGCTGAGACTCAGATTCAAGCTCTGGCATGAAGCCTTTCCTTAATTTGAAAACTGATCACATGAAAATATTTTAATATTGGTCTTTTTGTGGTTTATCCCACACTCTGTCCCTAAGAAACATAACTGTTCCTCCCCACTATATCAGGCCATTGCGTAGAGGCTGACCTGACAAACTGGGAAAGGTTAGCAGGGTGGTGCTTTAAAGTTCAGCACATCCCAAAGTGGAATGCTCATAAGAAAAACACAAGCAACATGTTTTAAATCACTCTGGAAATCTTGCTAAAGGAGATGTAGGGCCTCAGTACTTGTGTTAGTCTGTGTATGATTGTGAACACTGAAACGTTTCTCAAGTGGAAATTGTGGTGTAAATTTGGGATTCGGGTGCTGCAAGGTTCTAGGTGACCCAGAGTTATGTGCAGTCTTGCAACTCTTACCTGGCCATTGAAGAACTTGCACAGCCTACTTTATCTTTACACATAAGAACAGTGAAAATAGCATTGTTTACTGAGTGCCAACTGATTATCCGAATAAATAATTCCTTGATGATAAAGATGCTCTTACCCTCTGCAGCTGAGGAATACAGTGAGAGCAAGGGTAAGTAATTTAATATGGCTATAAAGGAAGATAATTTGCTGGGTCTGGAATGCAAACAGAAGCACCAAACTGCAGAGAAGTCCAGCCTGGCCATGACAGCCAGAGGTCGCGAGCCCAGCTGCCTGCTCAGAGTCAGGTCTTCTGTGAGATCAGACCAGGGTGATCAGGTCTTCACCCAGCTGGGTCCTGAAAACCTCCAAGGATGGAGACTTCAAACCTCTCTGGATACCCCTATTGCTCAACTGTCCCAAGAGTGGAAAAGCTCTTCCTTCTGTCACGATGGAACTTCTGTCATTCCAGTTGGTCTGGTTCTTACCCTACGCCTTCCCTCAAGCTATTGATCCAGATCCCTGTGGCCAGAGACAAGGTCGGCAGCGCACAGTTTCAGGGGCAGTGAGGAGCATGAAAAGAGCCCGACACCTTCAACAGGAGCCGTGCTTACATCATTCACACTGAGCGTGCAAACTGCCCTGAAATACCCCTAAAAATTTAGGTCTTACTCCATGCGCCTTAAGAATCGGTTGTCATGTGAAAAAAATCTGCGAGGAACTGATGATCACTGGAAGCATTAAGTGGCAAACTTTCTACCCTAGCCACCTGCTGACATGTGCAAAGAGATTTTCACAGGGAGGAAAATGCACTTTAAAGCAAAAGACAGAAGGAAATTCAGGACAGTCTTGATGTTTGTCATTCTCAAAAGCAGTGGGGACCTGCAGCTGCTGGTTTTTATAGCCCTCAAGGGCCAACTCTTGGAGCAAACGGTGGGACATAAACAAAATGGAAATTGTTTGCAACATGGGAGTAGTGCTCTGTATTCCGTAAAAGTTGCAAATGCATGACATGGGGAGCAGAAAGAAAGGGATTTATTCCAGTAATGGAAAGGAAAGGGAAGTACAGAGTGAAAAAAAAGTGAAACATTTTGCTAGCGTGTCACAGCTAATGTAAAATGGCATAGGAATGGGAAAACCACTTTTGAGCATTGTAGAAATGGCATAATGAGATTTTCTTATCAAATGGAGGAAATGTGACCGAATAGATTATGATCTCTGAAAGAAATGGATGTAATTTACCTTAAACTATCAAGTGCCTATCAGAAAGAGACCTATTTATGAAATAAACAGAATAACCAATTGGAAGTGGCTGTACAATTCAAAACACAATCCCCCTTCACTGTACTTGCTTAACCATTCTTGACAAATGGACATCAAAAGACCCACTAAGGCTAATCGGCAGTTACATTATAGTCACTTGCACATGAAAATGACCTGCTTGGCTGAAAACACCAGCACCCACTTTTGGGGACGTGACTCATTTTGGCACAGAAATTATTACCCTGCAGTAGTTACTTCAGCTTCAACGTAGCAGAAGATGGACTTGGTTGTGATGGGAGTCCACATGACAGAAAATGACTAACAGTACTGGAAAAAAAAGAAGGTTTCATATTCTCAGTGTTAACTCTGCTACAGAGGGAATTCCTTTGGTAATTCCCTATTCCCCAGTGCAGTGATGATGACATAGAAAGGAATCACAAGCATTAGGGCTGTTTGGGGCTCATCAAAATGACCTATCTATTGGACCTTCCATCAGCACATCATCCAGCACAGCTCGATGAGGCAGGACAGGATGCAGAGACAAGCTGCTGGCAGCGTGAACAGCCTGATAACACTAGTGATTTCTCAGCCACTGGGAAATCTTACAGTGGACAGAAACGGACCTTTGGCTACTGTTTCACTAGACTAGCACCAAGTACTCTAGAGGGCAAGGTAATCAGTAAATGCTCATTGAGGGCCTAGAGGCGTATGTCATTCCGGAGGGATTTGTTCAAACTAACTGGCTCTAGACAGAAGTGGTGTCACTCGTGCCATTACTAATTTTCAGTCCTATTTAGAGCCTCACAGAAGAAAACCGAGATCAAGGAGTGAGAGGTACCAGGCAGATCATGTTTCAAGAGCTCTTGAGCAGGACAGTACTTTATACCGGGTGTTGGTTTCCGAGTCCCCAGTCCTGCTTCAAGACACGATAAAGGAAAATTTGAGGCAGTGAGCAGAAGATAAAGTGCTTTCTTACCAAAGTTCCCCAAGCTGTTCTCTCGTGTATCTACTCGCATCTCTAGGGCCTTCACTTGGTGCAGATCATCTACCCCTGTCAAAAATTTCTGTAAAGATAAGCAGAGATATATGTGTACTCTCATGTAATAAATCAGATGACACAGGAGCAAAAAGGTGTAGAAAAGATTTCAACCAGCGCTTTGTCAACATATACTCCAGGTCAAAATGGCTAGATGAGCAATCACATTTAGATAAATTCAGTATTTACAGATTTTTCTTCCTTGTAGCTCTGAATTATTCTAGTCTCACATAATTTCTACACTGCTTAAAGAGTCAAGCCTGAGGGTTACATTCAAGCTGCGAATCAACAACAGACCTACATGCTAATTAACTTCATTTAAACAGTATATCCAAGCTTTAAGATTTGCATAAGTCTTGTATTAATCCTCAGCAGACAGGAAGCGTTACCCTTAAGTGTCACCCATAATCAAAAAGGCACTAGGTAGTAAAACTCAACCAAACACACTGTTTAGCCTTTTAACCCAAAACTATGAAAAGGAAGCATGATTTTAGCTCAAGCAGCTCACTTTTCTGAAAGAAGATAACACTAATTACAAGAAATACAGATCTTTGAAAAGATCTAGGCGCTTCAAATAAAAGCCTACAAAACCTTTAATTACTTTTGCAAATATCTTAGTAATAGGATCAACCACTGCATTAAGCAAGGGTGGGTGTGTGAATGCAGGATCTTCCCTATCTTATCACAGGATCTTTCCTAATATCCTAAAGTCTGTGCTAATACATACATGTAGATGTTGCTTTGGCAGAGATATGAAGGATGACAGAAACAAGCAGAAGCGATACACAGAGGAGAGGGAAGCTCCAGGAGAGCTGGTGAAAACTACAGCAAGGCCGTGAAGTCCCAAGACGTCAGGCTGCAATTCCACAAGCAGCTGAAGCAACCTCATGTTACCACTGCTCTCACCCTCTGCTCCTTCCTGCCATCACCCAGCTCCTCTCTCCACAGCTTCCCTCATCCAGGCCACATGTTTGCAGCCTCCACCTCCTTTGCATCAGCTTTGGGTGCTTAGTGCATCCTTCCATGCATGAATTCAACAAAATGGACCAGGATGGAACTGTGTATCCTTTCTTCCTGATGGGTTAGTGGCTCGTGGAGGGGTCTGAAACACTCCCTGAGAGATGAAAACAAGGCTTTTGTGTCACAATAACTGCCTGAAAGAGTTGATGCTATACACAGTGATACAACTGCTAAATTTTCACCTTTCTGTGTCAAAAGAGTTAGGATGTGGGGCTAAACAAGTCCACTTCAAAGAAATGGCTGACTGTCATCAGTGTCTCCTCAATGATGCAGTCAACATCATGGGTTGAAAGAAGTCCTGTCACCTGCCTTTTGCTCCTCTGTTTAAGATGAAGGCAGGAAGCCATTCAACAGCCTCCATGTACAGGAGACAAGTTTTCTTACTATTAACAAGTTACAACATTCTTTAGTTTGTTTAATAAGGGGGAAATTATTCATTAGAGGGGAAGGTGTAGGACCACCTCTGTTTATGAGTTTTGGGAAGTAAAAATAACCACAAGAACATCCAGTTCCTTTTGCAGGGAAAATGGCAGTTGCAACATTCCTGCCCATGATGAAAAATTTGTATTGTGCACAGGCAACTGCAACTTCATTCCCTCTGATGGTTCCACATCCTCTTACAAACAAAGGACCAAACACAGTCTGAGTGTGATCGAGATGACAGTTTAAAAGGGCATGGGTTCCTGAAAAGGCTGAGCATCTCTCCTTGAAAAACTGGATCCCTTTTTAAGGTCTTGACCTGGACTCCTAAGAAACAGAATTATCCAAAATATTCAACTGCTTTTGAATTATCTTTAAAACCTTGTGTTTAAAATTATTTTTAATCTTATTTTTTTAACTGTGATTTTAAGCTGGCTGAGTCTAAGAAAGCTTCTAGACTTTCTTGCCTCCCTACTAGAGTATGAGAAACAAAGGTCTAAGGTGAAAACTTGGGAGTCCCCAGTGGCACCCAGAAATTGACTTTCTATCCCCAGATGCAGCCACCACAAAAATGGGTTTGCTCCTGCAAAGAAAGCAAGCTTACCAACTACAGACTGCTTTCTTCCCCCAAGTAAACACAAGATCCTTCACTGCAAGACACATTTTGCAGTAACCCTTTTCAGCAGATGACACCCTCTGTCAAATAGCATGAGAGTACGTGAGAAACAAGAACTAGCTGATGTCCTGGCACACAACCGTGCACTTGGATTGCTGGACTTGGACACAAGCTTACTGTCATTCAAGGGAGCTTCTTCTGAAAAATACCACCCCCCTCCCCATCAAAATAGTCTTAAGAGCCGACATCATTAGGAGACAGAATAGGAAGAAGTCTCAGAACAAGTGATAAGCTTAGGGTAATACACTTTGCCAGCAGAGTAGCAGAAGGTCCTGGCATCACAAGGAGCCTTTGCCTTTCTCCTTTGCTCTCTGCAAGTTCCCTGCATGCTGTCCTTCTCCCTGCTGCATTCTGGACAGCCTCCTTTCACAGTTCTGCTCCTTGTTCTCCTCTTTCAAAATCCAAGCATAAAAGCTGCATAAAGTGTCCTCTTCTATGGTTCCCTATTCCTTTTCCTCATACCAGGGTTTAACAGTGTACTTGTTTCTTTGCCCTCCTTTTCCTCTTCCAGATCCACCATTTGTACTTTTTGCCTCTTTCTGAGAGGTGAGCTGCTTAGCACATCCATATTTTGCACTGCAACAAGCAGAGCTGTGGCTTCAGTGCTGGAAAGGGTTAGTGGCTGCCAACACCAGCTCTTTGAACTATAGATAGCTGCCATGAAGCATGTGCTAACCAGATGAGACAGACTCCATGTGTTCTCAGTCCCCACTTCCCTGTTCTGCTTTTCCAAGTGTCTCTGTGAAAATCACTGTCCTTCCATCTGCTGATACCGAGGTCCCTCTTGGAGAGTTTGGATCTGATAGGCTGTGGGATGCAAAAGCTATCATACTACATAAAGGAAATGAGAAATGCGCTCAGGCTGGGGAGATGAGCTCATTTAAAGGCAGTAGAAGCACCAAGACTCCAGGTGTTAAATGCAAGCTAGTTAGCAAGCAAAAGGCCAGGGAGGCAGTTCAAGAGGTTACATGGTGAATGGTTCCTGTGGAAGATAGGACACCCCTACTCCCCAGACACCTTTCTTGGCATACTGGTGCAGCCTGGAAGTGTGATACGTCTCGTGTGTCACAGCTAAAATTCTGGCACCAGGAATGGGGGAGATTTAGGGAAGGACATGAAAACATTTAAACAAAGATGACACATACTTATTAAGAACTGCCTTTTATGTTGCTGTATAATGTCAAAGCACAGGAATCTTCATCAAAATTTGAAAGGAGGGATATTTAGGAAGAATTTTGCCGCTATTGGGTAGCAAAAGAAAAAAAAAAACAACGACCAACACACTGAAGGCACCGTAAGCTTGGATAGAGAGATGTAAAATGACCAAACACACTGAAGGGCCCATCAGCTTGGACAGAGAGATGTCTGGCACTATGTGGGCAGAAGTGATGCTAAGGTGCTCTTCAGCTCTTTGCTTCTAGGGTCATGCGGCCTAGGACCCTGCCTGGCTTCGGGTAATGTCTGCCCACCCGCAGCTCAAAGGGCTGTTTTAACAGCCAGGGACAGAAGGTCTCTCTGCTCGTGCCCCAGGAACACTTACAGACACGAAGGTGCTCTGCCATCTAGGTGTTTCTTTGGCTGTTTACAGCTGCTCAGCCTCAACGTAGAGCAGACAAAAAGGGAACAAGGACCTGTTCTAGACAAAGAGTTGGATATACTCAGAGTTATTTTATATCAAGATACATTGAAAAAACTAACTATAATTCCAGGCTGATTGTTGGTGTTCAGAGAGAATTCTGCTTGCCCCCCACCTACTGCCCAGCAAGGTAGGTATTGGTTAGACAGAGGAGGAGGATGTTTTCTTAAGAATCAAACATCAAAATCTTTCTGGTACATGATGTTCAAGAAGGTGGCCTGACAGCTTGATTCTGGGCAGCCAGCATTATACTCCACCCTAAGTTTGTTTGTTTGAAAGGATAAATTTCCATGGTGAAGCACTGCACAATTCTTTGAAGATGAATACATGATAAGTAAAACAAAGACAGATGAAGTTCACTTTACATTTTTGTACCACCTTTAAAATAGAAGTAAAACTATTTTCCATGAGATCATGAAGAAGCTACTGGTAAATAATTTAGACAGTATTTTAAGAAGCGACTCCATGATGGCTCACAAACCATTCCCATCATGCCAAATGTCTGGCCAATATCTAACTGGAGAGAGTGCACTAGTTTGGAAGGCTTTTCCCCTGACTGACGAGAAGAGCCAATAAGTATTCTGTAAAAAATTGCAAGTGAAAAACACTTCTGTGCTTGCAGAGCTTCCCAACTGGCAGAACAGTCACTTGGGGATGCTGGGAAATCCAGTTCAAGTCCCACTTGCAACTCTCTGTAAATTCTTTAATTGCCAAATAATATCAGTTCAATTAAAGCTGATGTATACAACTGATTTCTTCTCTCTTCCCTAGATTTTTCATCTACTCTAAGAAAAGTAGGTATGTTGCTAAAGAGCATGTTGCGTGCAGCTGTCAGAGAAGCATTTCCAGCTGTGTGTTTATTTTGCTGATGCTGGTTAATTTGGCTAAGACAGGAATTCCTGAGTGGTGAGCCTACTTTCTTTTAATACTACACCTGTATGCAAATACTAGATTCAAGTCCGTTCATGTGTTCATTGCTTTTTGCAGGGATTTTATTTCAAATTCCCAACTCAAGTGTAATCTCTCCCTGCGCAAAAAAAAAAAAAAATATTGTTGCTACAAGTATGACAAAATATTTCTTCTAAGAAAATTACTAACATGTTAACAAGGTTTCAAGTGATCCTAAATCAAGGGATTTTAAATGAGAGGGAACTTCCCTGTGGGCCCATATGCAAGCTGCCTTTCAAAATGGCTAAATGCTGCAGATGCCCATAATTAAAATATTTAGCTGTATTTCGCTACTTTCTGCATATGCATACAAATACATTCTTCTCTCAACTCAGAAGAAGAGATTAGCTAGGTGTTCAATCTGTGACAAAGAGAGATCTTTTTGCCTTGTATATGTGTAGATGAGGGCAATAATTATGAAAAGTAAGTGGTGGTGGATGCATTAGTAAAGACATCTTTAATCTTGTGCTGAAGTCTCCAGGTCACACCAACAGATCTACACGGCTAGGCCCCTGCCTAGTCCTGCCATCTCCAGTTCAGCTCCCCAGACTCGTGCTGGGAGTCACAGTACCGACACCACCTTTTTTTAAATCAGCATTAAGGGTCTGATGCAGCAAGGCGCTGGGAGATCTCCTAACTATCGCAAACTTCAAAGGGCACGAGGGGCACCAGAAACTACATGGGAGGTTTGCTGATCTCCCAGAAATAGCCTGTCTCATTTCTGTTGGAGGAAACAATCTCAGTTTTAACTATGCGCTGAATTAGCATGGAGGTCAGGATTCTTGCTTTAAATTTGTTTTAAGGATTTACTTTCCCTCACATGGATATAAAAAAGTCATACCCCACTATTAATTCTTTTTCCTATCTAGCAATTAGGTGCGTAATAAGTAGCTACAATCATTGCTCAGTGTTGTGTCACTGAACATGCAAAACTCAAGACTGTAATCTGGCATTTTATGTTAGCTAAGCAGCTGTGACTGTATGCAAATGAAAATCTGATTTTTTCATATACAGGCATGCATATGTGCGTGTATGAATATAAATACAAAGATTCCTGATGTGACACTCTGAATGTAAACCATCAGAACCCTCAGTAGCAGGATGAACACTAACATAACAACTACAAGCCTGCACTGTAGTAAAGGCGTTAGTGTTAGAATAAGAACATAGGAAGGGAAAGCTCTGAAACTAAAAGAGGCTCCGTAATTTTTTTCCTGTTCACATCATTATGTTTACTACTATCTGCTACCTTGGACAATCTGATCTAACTTTGAAACTAGCCGTGCTTTGAGCAGATCAAACTGGAAGACCTCCAGAGGTCCCTTTCAAACCTTTTTAAAAATTGTTATATTTTAAATTATTATACAATTCTAATGAAGAATTCAGCAGATCCAAATTCGGCCAGTTACTTCCACCTCCTTCACTCCACTTAATTTATCAAGATTTTGCACTTGCTTCTGTGATCTTCAGTTTTTTTCTCAAATCCATTTAGTTTACAAGCAAGAGGAAAATCTTTCTGAGAAGGAAAAAAGGAAATGATTGAGTCATTTCAGCAAGAATCCAATCTGTTGTTCCAGGACCCTCCAGGATTTTCTTCTTCCCATGAGGATGAGTGCATACCATATGAAATACACCCTAACCTCCCGAGCAACAAAACTAAACACCACTTCCGAACATGTGTTCCTAAGTTTAGAAAACAAGATTCACTGGAGCAAGATCAATAAATAGCAAAATAAGAAGAATACTTACTTTCTTTTCTAAAGATCACACACAAGTATTATTAGTTTTGATAATGTGACAATATCTGGAAGATCATTTGACCTTGTAAAACGAGTTTATTCTGAGAAGTGGAATGCTTTTTGTGGAAGTCAGGAAAAGATCTTTTGCAAACAGCAGGGAGGCAATGAGGGTTAAGAGAACAAAATAAAAATCTGATTCTAGATGGGTGGAACCCTTAATTTCAGTTCCTCCACACTTAATGGGAAATCTGTGCCACAGCCCTAATAATGTTAAAAATTAATTGCAATGTATTGCCCATTAATAGCCAGTTTTCGGAACGAAGGGAGAATGGGGAATTTGCTCACCCTGGTATTCTACAACATCTGAAAAGAACACATAAGCACAACAGAAGTACAGGCAGAGCAGGGAGCCGGAAATAGGACAGGAGCAAATGGAGAAGCAAGAACACTTATTCATATAGATGAAGATTAAACAGTACAACAGAAAACTGACATTGATACTAGCAGAAAGAATAAAAAGAACATCTAATGATACAGACCCTTGCATTAAAAGCTTTCGACCTGTAGCTTGGGTGAAGAGTATTCAAATATAAAAGGGTGTTACGTGACATCGCAGCAAGCAGAAACTACAGAAGACATTATTAACCTAACGAGGATATGGAATCACATGGGATTTTAAAGTGAACATTATGCAGAAATGAGGCCAAAGAAGACCACAAACCCTGTAGTGAGCGAGCATAACATTTAAGTGAGGTGAGGACCTGCTACGGAGGGGAAGAGAACAGGCAAGCAACCAATGGCTTTGTAGAAGTTATCTTAGGTGCTATGGGGTGCAAGAAGGCAAAAAAAGAAAGGAAAAAAAAAAAAAAAAAAAGGAAAAAGAAAAGAAGAATCAGTTTAAGTCAACTTTCCTCTCTTTGGAGGAAAACAATCCATCAACTCTTAGCGAGTCCTTAATAATGAGGACTGCTAATGGAGACTGCTGATGTTTTCACTACTAACTAGATTGCCATTTCCCTGGAAAAAGGAAAAATGAGTAAAATGCACAGGTAGAGACGAGGCCACAGGCTGCAATTCAAGGTGCCCAATCTTCACAGATTCTGCACAACTTGACCTTCCAGCCTCCTCACGCTCAAACTGAACTGATACAAGACAGAATACTGCAAAGGCAAGGAATAAAGCTGCGTATATATCTCAGAATAAAAACCTTCCTCGGGAACTTCCATCAGGTGTCTAAAAATTTGCCTACGCAACACTGCAGGACTGGAGCCTATGTTCTTATTTGAATATAAAATAATTTTACTTTAATGAGCATGTATTTTAAAAATCTATTAGTTTCCTTCTCAGAGCACTTTAGTGAATACAGTCAATAACTCCTAAAATATTCACAACTAAAAGACAACCAGGTAGATATTGCAAGTGTATTGATTTAAGCAAAATAATCTTTCAAACCATGTGGTTATCAATGACATGTGGTTCCTTAAAAAAACATGCATGTTAAAACTTGTTTCAGATTAAATGTTCTGACAGCGTCTCTATTTCTACATTTGAAAATCCAGAGGAAGTAAATTTATGGAAGCAGTGGTTTCCATTTGATCAACATAAAGGTCAAAGAATAGATAGATTTGATATGTTATTAAAACAGGCTATAAACATTGTAAACGTTTCCTTGACAATGTCATACAATTTTTCCTCTGAGCAGGAAGTGTCCCAGCTATGCCAGCAAAAATGTCAGGTTCCAGGGTCAGGAAATAACTGTGTCCAGAAAAATGAGCAAGACAGTATGCATCTATTTAAAACGGTCTTTGAAATGGAATTCCTTACAGCTGTTAATACGCACAGTCTCAAAGAGGCAAGACTCGATTAAGTTCAAGAGGGTACATATGAATAATGAAGTGGGTTTCCCCCATTTTTAAAAATAGCCTAGAATTGTGGAGGAATTTAACTTTTGATCTGATTTTAAAAATGTATTACAAAATAATGAACTGAAACTTCATGGGATGTAGGTAACATTGTCTTACATACACTTTTCTGCTTACAATTTAATGTGAAGCAAAAGCAGCAGAGCTTCAGAAAGAGAAGAATTTCATGCCAACAAAAGAACTTCCCAGGGGTTTAATTCACAGTTTATTGAAGTCAGAGGGCAGCTGTTTTGGTTACTCTAATGGGCTTTGGTTCATGCTCTAAGAAAACAGGGTAATCTGAGAGCTTCTTACTGGCTTTATACAGGGTATTGTAGGCCACAAACACACTAGGCTGGTCAAACTCTATGCCAGATTTAAAAAAAAAAAGACCAAGAAGTTGTCAGTGGCTCACATGAGCCAAAGGAAAGTGAATGGCATAGATCGTAAGACCATATATCGATTTTTCCCAAGAAAGCTTAAAATACACGCTCTGCCGAAAGCGATCTTTGCATCTCTGAACATTTTATAAACACTAAGAGTCTTAGCTCTTAAGGGAGGAGTAGCTCTGAGAACAATTTGCTGTCTAATCTGCGGCACACGCTCAGAATTGTGACCGGTGCCTAGCTGGGGAGCAGTGTAAGCCTGCAGCGGGCGTGTGCCCCCCCCCGAAGGGACTGCCTGCACGGGTGCCGCGGATGCAGAGAGGATTATGGACACTGCCATCGCCACCCGGCCCGCTGGGAGCATCCCAACCACAGCCTTGGCCCCAGCTCTCTCTCACTAACTTCTACCCAGCTCTGCAACACAGAAAGCTGCGGCTTTGCCCCTCAACGTCAGCTCTCAGCTCTCCCTTCCTTTAGCGGGGAGCAGTGAGGTTATTTTCTCAGCTCTGACACCTCCCAGAGGATTTCACCCTTAATTAGTCCTGAGCAAATACAGCATAATATGCAACCAAGAATTCCTTCACCAACATTTCATGAAGTGAATTCCTTCACGAAGATTTCAGCATGCTACTCTCTTTCAACAGGCTGCGTGCCAAAATCATTTCCCCCAGTCAAAAAGGAACATGGCTTGCAAAAGCGCTTTGAAATCTCACACGCTTTGATATATCTAGAAAGTACTTCTAGCAATTGCAGAATATTTTAATTGGCTTCTTAGCAGGTTGTCATTTTAGAGCTACATTTCCAATCTCTAGAACAAGGTTAATGTAAAAAGCTTTTTCTAATACTAAGATTCAAGGTATTTCAGATGGCATTAACGAGATCTGTTTAAGTTATAATTATGCTACCCACACTTTTCTTCATGCTGCTTCAAGAAACCTAGCAATAAAGACAGCAGCATTCATGCTGGGAATATTTTTTGCATGAAACAAGGTGAAAGGAGGACAAACATTTGATACATTTCCGTAAGACAAAATCCACTTTATGCAGAAGTCTAACTGTCAGATATGCAACAATCTGCAGCCATCACAAGAGCAGCTGGAAAGTTAAGTTAAAACAGCTCTGTATATGCCAGTTTGCTGCTTCTACTTCATTAAAAAGTTGGATATCCACTCACCAGCTTCCTGGGGGAAAGGTATTCATCCATAAGTAGCTCTCCGTCATCTTTAATCAGCAGACTGGGATTTAGGTTGCCTCGCCAACTCAAATCAGTCACCCCGACTGCAGCTGAGGCTGGATGAGAAACTCTGCCAGGATTCCACTTCAGGTCCATCTCAATATGCTTTGAACAAAAGAATAACAAGCGGTCTCATTTTTCTCCATATTTATTATTTTCCTTTCAGCAAAATCTATTTTGACTCCCATTGCAAGTCAGCAAGTGCCTATGGAGATAAAGGTTTCTTTAATCAGAAAGAACCCAAAGCAATGCATCACAAAACATATATTCCTCCTTTTTTTCACTCTCAAGAGCTATCCTAGTCCACACCCCATTCAGCTTTGAGTGTCAGCTTTTACAGCAAACTATCATCTGCAGTTACACAAAAAGCCAGGCATATCTATGGCTCTGTCCAAAGAAGGTAGTCAGGAACAAACAACTCAGGACACTAGTCCTTTCTGGTCTTCTCACTACTGCACTTACCCTTCTCCAGTGGCAATGAACTTCCCGTCCACATGGGCCACCTACCTATGCATCCCCTCTTGAGAAATGTGAACAGCACTCAGCAAAACCCTGCTGGGCTCCAGGCTGCAAGTGCCAGCACCGAGACATGGCACCACTAACTCCAGCCTTCTGAGCTCTGCCTGTAGGTAGCACAGACAGCAGCAATTGTATCTGCTGTCTTAAATTAAACGTTCCTGCACTGTTACTGATTGCCCTCTGGGTCAGGCAGGCCATGGCTACTGACTTCTAGTTCTGGATAGAGTCTTGGAAAAAGCAAAATTAAAATACAATTCAAACAAAGCTGTGTATGCTTCAAGTGAGGAATGAAATCTGAAGTTTGAAGATGAAGCACTTCAAAAGTGTTCATCCTTCAATTCCCAAAGCAATTCCTAATATTAACAATTAGCTGCGAAATATGAGAATAAGCATATGTGCACCCGTTAGAGTCAAAAGGCAATCATCTGTACCCAAGTGGTACAAGCATTAGTATGATTTATACAGCTATTTACTACTACTTGGCAGCAAGGAAGTATCACAGCTGGAAACATTGCTGTAACAACAAAAGACTAGACTAGAGAAAAGCCTTCTCACTCCGCTGAAGGGACACCTGCAGTTTTCCTCTGTTCTCCACTGTGAAGCAATACTTATTCTTAGTGCTGGAAAAGTAATTAAATAATCAAGCTAATCATAACTGGCTGACAAGACTTCAGTGGTGGCCAAGACCTGAGAATTACAACCTTCCTTCCTCCTCATACTAATAAACAGGTAAACAGAGGAGTAATGTATGTTAGGAAAACCAGAGGTAGTTCTGACTGCTCAGCTCGTCATCTCTACTCAAGAGGACTGACTAGTTAGAAGGTGAGAGAGGTTTACACCAAAGAGACTTACTGCTCTGACTGCTCACGTCCAGTCAAAAGTCTTCATCTCTGCAGTAGCAGAAGAAATTCAAAAGGCTCAGTACTGTCAAAAAAAAAAAAGATAGCAGCCCTTATCTGAAGAAAAAACAACAACAACAAATTAATGATCCACCAAATCTCTCCCTGCAGGATTTCCTACCACTAGGAAGGGAGAAACCAAAACCTCACCCCCCTAAGTGCTCCTTCCATGCGCTCATCAGGGAAGAGGCAACCCAAAGAAAGCAAAAACTATTTTTCCCAGATCACTGCACATACCCGGCAAGCATTCCTAGAGGAGAAGCTGACTTCTCAAATGTGTTAGATCTGAGCCGCTGCAATGTCCAATGCTTAAAAAACATATTCAAGAACAAATTCTTCAGAGACACATTACTCCTTTCAATCTTTCTTAACGGCTTATAAAAGAAATACCATAAAGTGAATTGAGCAGTTACATTTGCAGCTTCTTAAACCTCACCATGCCTACAGCAGTAAAACTTTCATAATTCTGCCCATTAGGAGGCAAAAGTGATCTCAAAAACACTATGTGTCTTAGTTTTTGAAAGAATAACTATAACCCATACATTTCTATTATCTGTTTCTTTTTGCAAAGAATTCTAGAGTTTCTCAGATTTTTGTTCCACTACTTTCTTCAGAGCAGGTCAGTATGATTTAGTCAGTCGACTGAGTTGCAACAAGCATCAATTATCCAAGGAAATTCAAGAATCTTACATGATATGAAGGCCTTCTGGGGTTGCCTTTATTTTCCTAAGAAATAATTATTTTGGTCAATAACTGACTTAGATCAGACTATCTGCCATATAAATGTTGGAATACTTTGACAGTCGCACACGACTAGCGTTGGATTGTGTGGTCGTTCTTTCTAATTCAAGCAAGGATCATTATTATCCAGAGATAATCCCATATGTTATCGGAGCCAAGTGGATCAACAGGCAGAAATCACTGACGTAACGTGTGAGTGCAAAACATAATGAGATAATAGCAGGATTGTGTAGATTCGGGTTGTAAGGAGTTAACGTGCTCGCATAAAACAAATTATTGTTCTCCTTTCTTCAGTCCACCACTACTACATTTCAGAAATTACTCCAATCTTTGAAATATGTGTTGATAGAGCACTTACTTAAGGTTTGACAGGGAGATCAATTTGTGGCTTAACATCTGAAGTAACACTTCCAATTCTATACTTCCCGCTATTGATCTGCTGCTTGTAATTATTGTAACATTGGATTAGCAGGGAGAATATTTTCATCACAAAATTGTCTGGGATCAAATTGAGTTATCATCAGCAAACAAAACAAATTTTGTTTACATGCTTCCATCACTTCAAAACTTTCTCCGGAGAAGAATCTTCTAAACAAGGATCAAAATAACATCCTCAAAGTGAGGAATATAGAAAAGCTAAGGGTGCAGGAATCCTAGCGGTGAGGTCCCAGTCTCACAGAAAAATCCATAAACCTAAGAAGTCTCCGGCACTGTGTAGGAGTGAGAAGAGGGCCTGGCACAACACTTGTCCCCCTACAGCTACAGGAGTCCGATTGCTCGTTTTCATCAGGTCCATCTGACTTCCTGAGACAGGTAAAATCATTCCAGTAAAGCCACCTTGTCCGCACATATAAAATGCTAAAAAGCAAATGAGAAATCCACGGCTCTGTGAAATGCACGGGACAAGCAACCACTGACCCGAACCAGTGTCAGCCTCGGTGGGACAGCTTATTGGGACTGGAGAGACTTCATTGCCATCAAAGAGGTCCGAGAAGTCATGCACCTGAAGATTTACTCCACAGAGACGGTGTTCGCGTTGGATATATGTTTGATCTTTATGTTGAATGGCAATGCAGATCATTCCTGCAAGACTTTGCGGGACCAACAAGGATGGAAGCTAACTGCACCTAACACAAACCTTCAAATAATTCAATGGGAAAGCAAAGCAATAACTGTAAGTAGATGAGAGTGCCAGGGAAAGAGAAAATGGCTGAAAAAACAATGGGGTTTTGTCCTGCATGTGAACACCGAGGAGAACAAAAGAATATAATAAATCAATGAATTAGTTTTTGCAGGATTTGCATCATAGGTCTTGACTTGGCAGGCTCTTCCACATGCAGATAGCTAGAAGCAGATAATCAGTGAATGAGGAGAAATCAATGACCAGAGCAGTGAGATGGAAGAGCTTGAATTCGACAGACAGTTAATCTGCCAACTTTCCCCACTGCTGCCACTCTCCTTCCCAAAGCTAGTGTGATGACAGTGAGCTATTCAATTCACAGGCGTGTTGTGAGAGTGCCTTAACAACTGCAGGACATTTTTAACATATATAGAGTAATACAGCTAATAATTATTAAAATTAAATGATCCTTGGAACAACATGCTATTCCTGCAGGATACTGTAATTTGCTAGAAAGAAATTGGCAGAGAATAGTTATTTGATGTTCCTAGGGTCCAACAAACTGGTAAAACTCCAAGATTTTATTTTCTTGGTATAAGATTTATCGAAGGGTCAGTGATAGGATGATGTATTCTTCATTAAACACATATTAATATGCATGTCAAATACAGCAATTGCCAGAAATGTTTGACTCCATATTAATTGTATCTTCTTAAGTCTGGGAAAGACCCTCTGAATTGTGTGACCAGGCATGAAAATTTCTAATGCAGCCTTCAAGACAGGACCTAAAGAGCTTGTCCAAGCAATTAGGTTACCATTTAGAAAGAGATAAACTTCTATATATTACCATCCCATACAAAAATGAATCTCTACTCTCTTGGACTCGCTCCTCAACCAGCATCCTCTCCACCTCTGTGGCTACACATGCCTTCAAAAAACTCCACTGGATAGGGCAGAGTGCCATTTCAGGTAGGGTACTGCAATCTGTATGTCCTTATCTCTATGTCACCAGCCTAAAAATTCTCTAGAAAAAAACACTGGAGGACCATTGTGCCATATCCCTTCATGACAGGAAGCTTGTACTGCAGACTTCCATTTCTCTTGCCCTGCATAATGTAATTTTATTTGTTTAATCCAGAATCATAAATTACAGCAGTGCCCATACTGTTACCACTGCCACAGAATGAAAACAAAGAATTCTGTGTTTACTAAGGATTTGACAAAAGGTTTGGTTTATAAGTCTCAAGGGAACTATGAGTGCCCTTTTAAGCATAATTTTGTGCAAGTGCATTGCAAATAACCTCTCCTGGAAAATAACTGTTTGGGCAGCTGGAATTTGCTATGATGTCATCAGGAAACTACTGTTACAATAATCCATCCCTAATGGCAAAAACAGTTCCTGCTACATTTATGTAATATAAAGCATCCTGCAACACATCAGTTTATTTTAGCAGGTGCAACTTCTAAAAAAATGAAAAATAAAACATCTGACTTTGTATTAATGTGAATGTTTCTCTCCCATATATGGCTAAACGATCTTGCTTTAATCTTCTGTTTCTGTTAAGCAGAAGGAGGTAGCGACTACTTCAGTAATGCTACCTTAATAGCAAGGGATCATTAAACAGTATAAAGAGCATTCATAAATATTGCATTTGTGTGTCCCACTAAAGAAAAAAAGCTTTTATGAGGATGCTGAAATATCAGGGTATCAATATCCCCTTTAACATAATTAAAAATTCACCGACTTCAATGACATTGAATGACTTGAATGCTCACAATGATGGTTTTGTTTAACCGTTCAGCCAGTTTGAAGTCTTGGTTCAAGCACTCAAATTTGCACATAAAGCACATGTACCAATTTTCCTCATTGTTCACCTTCTTTATTTATGGTCTTACAAGCTGTAGGAGTGCCTGACAGTCCTTTGGTGTTACATGTAAACCCTGCTCTACGGTTGCCATGACCATGACCTCAGGATCTATGTCCCACAGAGTCCTCAGGGAAAGTTCTTGGGAGCTTCATGGACTTTGTATTACCCCCATGCACAGAGCTGAGCTCAGACTGTGCCACTGTCCAAGGCAGCAGTGATCCCAGAGGAAAAAAAAACACATTCTACAAGCCCACACTAGGTTTGAGCCAAAACCCTTGAGATAAGAGGTGTTTCATATTCTTAAAAACCGTGATAATAATAAAATGTAATAAATGAAAAGGCAATTCATTTAGATGTTACCCATTCTCCTTTATATATCTATAAATTGCATGTATTAAAAAAGCAGGATACATAATACTTTCCCAGATCCGGCTGAGGAGGTTGTAAGGTGATGAGAAATTTTTTATCATGTGTCCTGGAAATGCCTCTAACTGAAATCATTCTGGAGCTAGCTTGTCAAATGTTGTCCTCATAACAGGATAAAGAGCAGATCGCTCTCTATTATATGTACTATTACATGTGAAAGAAACAATAAACCAAAGTCCAATCAATTGCTTTGGTTTTTAGAGTCCTGTGGTGGGAGGGGATCAGCAGCAATTTCTATCCGGCTACAAACACTGAGTGATACTCTCTGCAGTGCAAGCCTACAGACAGCAGCTACGAACAGGCATGGATTATCTAAATCCTTAGCTGGAACTCCAAGATGCTACAGATCAAGATTTTTATTTTCTTATATAGGTGAACTTCCTGCTGCAAGAAAATGTCTCAAGAGGCTCTTCTGCTGGCTGTCCCCACTTCTCCCCACAATCAGCCTAAGAAAAGCAAAGCAGGGCGTAGGATGTGGTGGTAGCTGGTGAACAACAAGGGTTATGGAAAAACAGAGCTCTAAGGTGCCTGCGCCTTCACTGCCAGCAGGCTGCCAGGTGATCTTACGATCACTTCAATTAGTGAAGGAGATAAGGTTAAGTCCCTCACCATTTTAACTTTAACAAGGTAGCCAGGATTCAGGAAGCTGCACTTGGCTCTTCTTGGCCACAAGTTTTTACCCAAGTGTCCAGATATTAAGTAAGGGAGAAACAAGGCTGCCCTATTTAAAATCCTCCTGCCCTTACGTAGTGGTCCTGTCATGGATAGCTAGTGCCAAGGTACACAGGAACCAATACATCTGTGCTTGTCACACACACACAGATCCTGCCTTAAATGTAGATGTCACTGGAGCAGAAGTCTGGGGAAAAT